ATCTCATTGTATTCTAAACTATGGTTAATTTGCAGTTTTCTAATAATTTTTATCAAAGTCTCTTTCATATTAACTGAAATGGAAGAATTGGGTTTAAGTAAAGTAATAGTGTGAAAGTAAAGTGGTAATTAAGGCAGAGTAGTATCCTAGGAACATGACTATTAATCCAGTTGGTAATACATAATCAGTATTTCAGCCTTAACCTGTTGTTTTCCGTCAGAACTCAGATTCTTCGTGTGAAAGCCACCACACTGTTGCAGCACCCAGAAGCACAGTTTCCTTTACAGCACTGAAAACCAGCCTGAATTCTTCTAACACGAGCCCAAACCAGCAGCTGGACCCTCCTTTGGCTCATGCTGCAGCTCAGATATTTGCCACAGAAAAGACTGAAGGTATGATTAAGTTCAAAAATACTTTTGCGGGATGCCTGGGTGGCTCAGTTGGTTGGATGACTGCCTTCAGCTCAGGTCGTGATCCTGGAGTCCCGGGATCGAGTCCCACATCGGGCTCCCAGCTCCATGGGGAGTCTGCTTCTCCCTCTGACCTTCTCCTCGCTCATGCTCTCTCACTGTCTTGCTCTCAAATAAATAAATAAAATCTTTAAAAAAAAAAATTTCTTTAAAAAAAAAATACTTTCGCTTTATTTACACCCATTACACCCATTTTCCTTGGAAATTGTGCCTAGCACCTCTTGGTCACTCCTGTCCTCACCCGTTTCCAGTGTCACAGCTTCTGTTTCTCTGTGTATTCATTTCAATAACGGAATAATGCTCAGTTTGCATTTTTACAGTTCTGAACTTGATAAAATAAAAGCAAAAGTGCTGCTCAACCCTTAGAGTTAAGTTTTAAGTATTCTTCTAAAACTTCTTGTACAAACTTTATATATACACACACATACATATTTTTATTTGAGATACACATGTACATTTTAGTCTTAAGTTCTGTCATTAAAATCCGTATTCTCTCTTAGGGAAGAGTCCTCATGTCTAATAACCATATTTTATTAGGCTAGGAGAAAATACATGGTGGGAGCAGAATTATTTGAAAATCACTCTGACCATCCTTTTAGTTTTCTATTCATGTAATCTGACTTCATTATTTACAATTTAGTCAGACTATTAGAGATTGTATCTGTATCCAAGTTTTACAACATGTAATTATGGTTAACTTATTTCTTTCAGGATCTGAACAATCTTTTCAACAGCTTCTGCCAGAATTTTCTTCACAGGAGGGGAGCCAACATATTGATCTACCAAGTATTTTTAGCATTGAAGCAAGAGATTCTTCCCAAGGCATGGAAAATCAGAACTATTCTGAACAGATTGAAATGCAAAATAAGAAAAAAAGTGTTCATTTCCACCTCTGTGTAGGAAATTTACAGAGTTCAGTCTTCAGTTCCTCTGATGAGGCTAATGTATTTCATCCTTTAAGTCTACAGTATAGCACGCCGTGTGGGTCTACCTCTAGTGAGTGCTCAACAAAAGCCCAACCTGAAGGCAGAAAAGAAAGACTGGGCTTTGAAGAACTATCAGGAAGAGGACTTGATGGAGATAAAAATGAAAGCCTTGGGGTTTTAAATATAAATTCACATGCGGAGGAAATGGATTCTCAATCCTGTGTCAGAACAGTAGAAAGGGGAACTTCAGTTGAGGCACCATATTCTATTGAGAATGAAAAGTATTTTAAGAATTCCACTAAGACAGAAACTCCAAAAATCCCAGGAAACCTTTCTCACCTAGCAGAGTCAGAGCTCTTTTTAAGTTCTGGATCATTACAGAGCTCTATTCCAGTGTGGGTAAGTGAAATGTTGTATGTAAATAAATTCATTTCCACAAGTCTTTTGAAACCAAATTCAAGAGAAGCAACTGAGATTCTTGCTGATATTCCTGAGATAGTCAATCTCATAATCATTGGACATCTCCAACAAAAGGTCTGCTCCCAGTTGACACATCCTTTTTTGGATGCCTTGACCTGAGCTTCAGCCTCTTTGATCTGCTTGTTTCAACTCCAGTCACCTGAATATGGTTTTCACTTTCTAGTAGTTTGTTCTTTTACCGATAAACATAGATTAGAAATTATATTGACGGCAAGAGTGACATCTGGGCCACATTTTGTGTTTTATTTTGTGGTTTTTGGGTGGTTTTGTGTTTGTTTTGCAAATTCTTGTTCAGTAATTAAAGATACTTCCTCTAAAAATGTGGTTTGGCAGCAGTGGCCTCCATCTGGCTGCACCCCACCAGCTACTGATCCCTTTTGATAGATTATGCCCTCAGGTTCTACACAGCTCCCAGTCAACCTGCATTTGTACTATCTGCGTAGCCCCATAATAAGCATTTGGGGCGTATAACCCTTGCAATAGCTACTTTCAGACAATTATTATTTTGCCCATCCCCAAAGTCCTAAGTATTTCTAAAAGTGGGTCAGGGGTGGGGGAAGGCACCACTGTGGTCTTCACGGACCACCGTTGTTCTTCCTCTGTAACGTAGATTATTTTTGTATTTTTAATGTTTTAAGCATATGGTTTCCTTTTGAATTTTATTGCACAGGAGACAGAGTCTGGCCATGGTATAATAGAAGAACCAGAGCTTACATTAGTAAGCACCAGTGATATCAGTATTGCTGAAATGGATCTTGCAAATCTAACACTAGAAGAAAAGAAAGGAAATGAGGCAAAAAGCAGTTCTCAGGTAAACTTCATAGCTCCCTTTAATATGAATATACCTCATTAATAGAGCAACACAACAAACTGAGAGTAAGGCAACAGGTCTTTTAAGTAGTTTCTGCATATTTTTTTACATTAGAACTGTTTGCAAACTAATTTCCTTCCCCTTTCTGGGTGCAAATGCACTCAACTACACAGTGAATAGGGAGAGGTTACTTGTTCACACAGTGAACAAGCAACTGACAGCAGACAGGAAGAGAGACCAGCTCTCAAACTGTCCGATAGCGTTGTGTTGTGCCATTTAATAGTCCTAAAGACATTCATCTTATGATGCTATAGTTTTCATTAGGACCTGGAATTACTAGAACTCAGGAATGAATTGATTCAGTGAAATATTGATTTTGCTCCAAAAAAGGCAGTGGAGCTAGAGGATAGGTAAAAATCAGACCCGAGGGGGATACAAAATGAGTGCTATTACCTTATAAGTTTATTTTTGCGGGTCAGTCCCAAAGGAAAAATGAAGATCTATTTCAAGTTATGAAACACAAAAATGGGTTTTAAGTTCTGTTAGCTGCAGGTTCTTTATAGTTTTCTCCATTGCAAGAAAACCATTCCTTCTGGCCCACTTCACTGCTTAGGAGATAGTCATTGGAGGGAATTGTGCCACAAATTTAATTCTAGTTAATTAATAAGGACTCTAGGTTATGGTAGATGAATTCATTGATCATAGAACTGCAGCCTGGAAACAGAGAATCTAAGTCCCAACCCACCAACTGTTTGATGCAGTGTATTAATTTACCCTCTTACAGAGAAGTCCCAGATTCTCTATAGTACTGTGGCAGGACTTTTCTTTATTAGATTACTTATCTAAAAAAATGGCTGCATACCTAGGACTTTTTGCTGTGGTTACTGATAAGGGGAAGGAGGAGACAAGTAGAGCTGATGCAGAAGTGGTTTGGAAGAACTTGACAGGAATTGGGGTGGGGAGAGGGGGAGCTTTTGGCTAGAGTAGGCTGGTCAGATAAAACATTTTAATAGGAATAAAGTCTTTTTTTTTTTTTTTAACTTCCCTTCCCAGAAAACTTAAGTCTTATGAGAACCAGCACAAAGGAAGAATAGAAGCTAAGTTTAGCTTAGAATAGAAGCTAAGTTTATGGGACATAGATTCCTATACTGCACTTAAGGATTAGAGTAAGGCATCACTGCCTGCCTCCCCCAAAAACCACATCTGTCTACCTGAGGAAACCAGGGGTTTAGAAATTGTTAAAGGTTTTAGAAGCTATGCTTGTGATACTGTTCAGAGGTGAAGCTGTAAATTCATCTAGAATTTCTTTTTTCCTTTTTTTTTGCAATTAGGTGAGTGAATTTCTACCTTTTGTATCAGTAACAGAAACCTCGGATTATCCAGATGTATCTGAACACGGCACGGAGGAGCGCATGATTGTGTCTGCAGGTAGGCCCTTGAGCATCTGAAATGGTTAGTGTTACCCAAGGGGCCAGCAGAGTTCCCCATTCAATTCCAATAGTCACACTGCCCCACAATCTTGTACACTACTTCAACGATATAAAAAGCTTCGGGTTTTTTTTGTTTGTTTTTTTTTAAAAAACAGAAACCCCTCCAAAGATTATAGCTCTACCTGGGAGCTTACAAGAAGCATTTATAAAGAGGAAAAAATCATTTATAGAAAGATCCTCCCAGAGACAGAAAGAAATAAAGAATAAAATTCGTATTCCTGAAAATGCTCAAATCAAAATCGCTAAGGAGAAACCTACAGGTATGTTCCACATAATCTGCATCAGCTCTCACAGAGAATGAAGCATCGTAATATTTGCCAAGTCACTTGTTCTCTGCTCAGGCTCATCTGTGAATCGCCTGAAGGGTGTGAATAAAGTTAAGGTTAGAGTGTCACTTCATGAAGACAGAAAGACTGCACAAGCCCTCATGCATCCAAGGGCCCTAAGGTATAGGTGGTGTGTGAGTGTGAGTGTGTGTGTGTGTGTGTGTGAATAGGAATTCACATTCCATCCTTAGATCTGTGTATACATTTCTTACAGATCATACAATCAATTAGCTGAAGTCAAACAGCAAAGGGAAGAGAAAGCAAAGCAGGATGCATACGCCCAAAACAGAGCAAGGGCTAAAGAATTTCATAAGGTGAGCTAGACCCCCTACAATTTTTCTGTGTCTAGGGTATACTACGATGGGTAACATACTAAATTTTGGGGTTTTTTATTCCCTCCACAGCAAACACTGGAGAAACTTAGAGCCAAAAATACATGCTGACTTTCTACTAAAAGTGTAAGGTTTTTTTTTAAATTATGTGTAACATAGGCAAAATTATTTAAAGCCAATAAATTTTTATTTAAGGACTTTTTACATGTGATTCCTTCCACTGCCAGTCACTGCTCCTCACCATAGTTCCTCCAAAGTTAGAATCATAATCTTCAAAACAGCACTGAGAACGAGAGTATATATATACATTAGTTAAACTTGGGGAGACATTTCTTTCCCACTTAACCAATCATAGACAGAAGCAGCTAAATCTTGTATCTCCTCAGGAAAACATAGCACTATTGAGTAACTATTACATCCTATGGAGAACTCCAATATTTGGTCACAGCGTTAAGAGCTCTTGGTTTTCGTCCCGCAAGCCCTCTTTGAAATGACCTATAAATTATTTTTTCAAATGTGTACATACCTTTTAAAAAGAACTTGATCAATCCACAATTGTCACTGTCACTCCTATATAACAGGAACATAAAGTAAGGTTCCATTTCCAGAGATGATCATGTAAACTGAAGCCAGCCTCCCTCTACTAAATCTATTCTAACTTGTTATTAATATGGAAGGAGTTAGCAAAAGACATCTCTTAGAGATCTAGGCATTCACTGTTCAGTATACTAGCCATGAATGTTCAGATAAGAATCTGAAATAGGACCATTACCAAATCACATATGGCTTCTGTTAAATTTATACTGGACAGTGCTAATCTAAGGCAATGGAAATAGAACAGAGTTGGTAAAATGTTCCCAATAGGCTGAATGCTAGCAAAGTAGCAGAAAGAAAGAAAACCTAGTTGGAAAATTTTTTTATGGTCATGTCCACAGCAAATGAGAAACTGCATTCTCAAAGCCTTGGTAATGACCATTTTACCATTACATAGTACAACAGCGAATTAACTTGCCAGAGTTCTTTCAGCTGGGTTTCTTGCATCTCCATTTGAATACGGACATACTTTAAGAACTCCCCACCTATGGAAAATTTTAAAGTTTAGACTACACTTTTCAAAATGCAGTTAATTAGGTTCCCAAGTATCCTGAAACCCAGTTCTATAGTAGTATGTGCTGAAAATTGCAGACTTAAAACTACAAAGTTGGAATAACTGCTTTCAATCCAGTTCATTTAAATGTTAGGAACAAAGATACTTTAAACTAAAACTATATTCATTTGCATTCATACCCTAATTGGCATGAAATGCCCTCTGATTGTTAACTCCAAAGTTAACTATTCATGTTTCAGTTAACTTTTACTTTAGAGCTTTTGCTGGAAAATAGAGCACAGATCTCATTTAGATGGATGTTCAGAAAGGCTACTTTCATTCAGCGCATTCAGAGCAGTTGAACATTTTGCCCATCATCATAACATCACAAATCACTAGCAAACAGTATAAACACAAACTGCGGCCTTTCAACATCTAGGGTTTTGTGGTGTTGTTGTTTTAAAGTGGGGAGGTAATGAACTACCAGGACTAGTGGCTATCAAAATTAGGTAAATTAATGGATTCCATCTCCTAGGGCTTCTGAGGGGAAATCTTACCTGTAATCTTTGGTATCCAATGTCTTTACTTCAGGGCCCTAGAAGTCAAATTGTCGAAGTACACTGACTGCTATTTTGGCAAACAGATCTAAAATCATTCCTTAACTATTTCTAATGCTTAAGTCTTATTTCTTCCACTCTATTTCATGAGCCTAACAGAAAATGTTACAGGCCTCATTGTCACCACAGCAATAAACTTGCTGTGATGGAAGCATAACCTGTGTCTCAATGTAGCCACATTAACAATTTCTGGACACCATGAACAATGGTGCCCATTTCCATCTACAATGAGGCTTTATAGAAGTTCCTCAAGCTTAAAATCTATACAAATTTTCTGCCTCTGTACCAAAGTCCTGCTGTTTTGCTAACCAGATAAAAGCCAGCCGCCACTAGAAGCAACTGAAATTTAAGCCTTACCTGTTTAGGGTCTGAGTGTGGATCTGCCTGGTTCTCAATTTCAAACACCCTAGAAAAAGAGAAGCATTACTTCCTCTTGAAAATTATCTCAAGCTGAACAGTATGAAAAACTGTAAGAATACTGTTTCAATAAAAATACCAGGTTTAACATGCACGAAGCCAAGAAAACCAACGATGCCAAATACTGAGTTTCTATTGCACTGTCCTTTGAACACCCAGCAGGAATGAGCTGCTGAGGGCAGATACCATGCAGTGCGATCCTGCCAGATATATAAACCCCTCTACCTCTAGGCTACAATGCTACTTCCTGAGAAACGTCTCTCTACAAATTTAAGTTCTTGTAATATGTAATTAGACCTTTATTCCTAATTGTCATTCCAATAAGACAACTACACCTAGTCCTGATTACCTTTCCTGTCCCTGTATAATGCACATACAGAACTGTTAAGTCAAATCACTAAAAGAAATGATGCATTAGAAATCAAAATTAGTTGCTATTATTAAGCAGAATTCCTTAAAAAAATAAAAACCCTCAATATCTCTGTTGTAATATATTCAAATATGTTATTAGGATGAACCATAGGAACTGTTTAATAAAGATACAGAAGAGGGCATTTTCATGTTACTCCCTAGACATGCAGTCTCTTCAGTCTACCAAGATCTTGATACTTCTGTTGCATACCCAAATAACTACTGCACACAACAGTATGCTGACCTCACAACTTACTTTTCAGAACTTTTGAATCCTTAATAAATTTCAACAAAAATTGGATTTTCCACCTACCTCTAAATGTGAATGAGTTCAAATCATATTCACCCCTATAGATAAAATATCAAAAGATTAAGGACAGTTTTAAGTTTGGTTAAAATCCAAAACCTAAATATATGATTAGTATCCAAACTGTGTTTTTTTAAGCTTTAACCAGCTCTGTCAGAATTAAGTTTTAGTTCATGTCTGTATCATCCAGCAGTTGAACAGTTAAATTCATCATCTGAACTGTAACAGTACCCCAAAGATTACACTGTCCCCAATGAAAACTTACCTAAACTATCACCCTAGAACTGTACAGATTGTTGGGCTACACCAATACCTAAGATTTAAAAAATATGACTGTTAGGTCAGAGTTTTAGCAGATAATGATAAGTGTCTTGTAGTTCTTTCCCACAGATCTAACACATAGTTCTGTGAATAAAGGAAACCACACAAATACTCTATGAGGCGTTTCCAACGATGTAGGTCTACAGAAAAAGCCCCATCGGGATAGACCTCAACACTGTTTAGTTTAAAATTGGAAGATTCCACAGGAAAAACAATTAGAACTGTGATCTGCTCTAAGTCTCTGAATTCAAAGGTGTGCAAAAAGCCAAATATTTAAAATTAAAAGAAATCATTCCACTTATTACACAGTAAGGGTTTTTAAAATGCTTACAGGAAGGAGTCAGTCTATACTGAGAATAAAGACCAAAAACCGAAGGTAAGTACAAAATAGCTACTAGAGAACCACCAAAGATTTCCATACCTAAGGTCTTGATTTCGGCAAACTCCAGTATCACAGTTTGTCTAGGACATCCCCAGATTACAGCAAAGTGTTTAATTTTTTGCCTCATCTTAAGAGCTATGATTACTTGATGTCACTTATAAAAAAATACAGGAAAATATTAAGGTGGCTATATTGTTGTTCTTCCCATTTAGAAAATCATTGGAAAATAAACAAATTGGGTGCTTTTTAATTAAATTTTGCATCATTCAGATTTCTTGTGTCCTCTAATCATTTCTAACATTACACTATTAAGTCCTACATCTTATTTTAGATTATGCTTTAGTTTAAAATAAATGCATGAAACAGAAATATCCAGTATTCTGATTATTTCAATATAAACTAACTTAATGTTTGTGGAAACCCTTTCCTGCAAGTAAAGTCAAGCTTGTACCTTCCACTATAAAATGTGTGACCCCTAAAATTTGTTTTTCTGAAATGTCAAATTGTAAACTGGCAAAATGTCTTTTAGTAATGAAAGCCCCACTATGAACTGACAAAGTACATTTCAACAAATCTGATCCACTCACCTAAAGCGTTAGATGTACCTTTAAGTCCAGACATTGTGTTCAAGTGAAAAGCCTACAAAAAACAAGGCATCTTTGTTTCATGTCAAGATTAAAATTAGAATACTAATTCAATACAGCTGAGATTTCCCTTATATGCTTCTAGTTAATTTTAGTCCTGGAATCGCCCTTCAGGTTTGTCAATACTTCCCACTATGACTTTAATCTGTCTTAGGGACTCTTGTTCCTTCTTGAAGATTTTTTATTTTATTTATTTGACAGATCACAAGGAGGCAGAGAGAGAGGGGAAAGCAGGCTCCCTGATCAGAGAGCCCAATGCGAGGCTTGATCCCAGAACCCTAAGATCATGACCTGAGCCGAAGGCAGAGGCTTTAACCCACTGAGCCACCCCAGGCGCCCCGGATCTTGTTCCTTCTTATCTGTATCAAAACTCATACTGAGCCATGAGTTCTGGGTTGCAAAAGAGGATTTATTTTTTGCACTTTGTCTAAGTCTTTGTTCACAAACTAAACAAAAACAGCAAAAGTGCAATCATAAAATATAGTAGACATTTAGTGGCACAATCAGCAATATACAGTAGTGATGAAAATTGGTAGTTGAAAGAGTCTAGATAACTAGTAAGTTATTACAGTACTATACATTTGAAGCTAAAGGTCACTTTTTTGAGTGAAATAGCCATCAAAATGGTTTCGGGTACTCTTGAGGAATGGATGGTTGGTTGTCCATCATTAGTGATTACTGTTTCAGGATTACAATCTCTGTACTTCCTTGATTTGAATGCACAACGAACACCTGGAAGTGCTTACCCTGAAATGAACAAGTATAGGCAAAATGGATCTTCTGTTTATGATTTCTCAAGTGATTATTTCTGCTATGCAAGCCTCAATTTTCTGTGATAATTTCACTGTGTTTTAAAATATTTTTTCTAGTAATTCTTTAGGAGTTTCACGAACTTGTTCAGATTTTCTTCTTTCCTTAGCAGGTTCTCTTTTATCACTACACCAACATATGTATTTGTATTTATCATCTTTACTTTCTATGAAAAGCTGTTTTCTCTCTTCTATTTACTTTAACATTCATATTCCTAGCTCTTTTCAGACCATTCTATCCTCTGTCCAATGTTTTTAGACTTTGATGCTCTTTTTAGACAAAGCAGCTTCTTCAGTACATTCCTCTTGTTCTAAATACACATTCTTCATCTTTGGTACTTGAGAACTTATAATGAAATCATTATGGTCCTGCATAAAAAAAAAAATCAGCATTAAATTACTAAATTTTATTGTTTTAATAATTACACATTACTTAACTCTAGATTACTTAACCTGGTGACTAAGGCATGATGTTAAAAACCCAAATTCTGCTTATTTTTTTTTTCATTAGAAAATCCTAATCAGACATCCTAATAGCAAGCATATTAAACTTATTAACAGTACTGAAAAGCCCATGTTCTCATCAAGTATCCAATAATTCCTATTTTTATTCTTAAATTTCCTGTACCACATCTATTGAACCTTTCAAAAATTGAATTCAAAATCTAAGATAGTAAACTAGTGGATTAAATTCTTCCTGAATAACTGCTTATCTTCCTAAAATCAAATGGGACAAAAATGTCACTTACCACCAATTTGATATCACATTCGTCATTTTGTTCAAGATTTGTTGCAGACCCATCCTCTGTTCTGTAACATTAAAACATACCCTCAGACGACAAAATCATCCAGACCCTATCAGTAATATATTGTCATGATCTACAACTAAAATAGCAGTATTAGTAAGGAGAAAAATTATGTTGTCATGTAGGACATCCCAAAATGGATGGCTCATGTGCCAAGCTCAAAGCTCAACTACAACCCAGATGGCTTATTTTATCTGTGCCTCCCCATCAACGTTTATGTATAAACAAATCCATAACATAATATGTAACAAGTAACACAAGTAATACAACAAATAACATTTAACAGGTAACTTGTAATACATGTAACATCATAACATAACATGTAACAAGTAACACCAAAATGTAAAAACTTTTAATTTGATAAAATCTAGGTTCAAGGAGCAGCTGGGTGGCTCAGGTCATGGTCTCAGGGTCCTAGATTGAGCCCCGCATCAGGCTCTCCGCTCAGCAGGAAGCCTGCTTCCCCTCTCTGCCTGCCTGTGATCTCTAAAAATTAAGTAAATAAAATTCCCTCCCCCCCCCCCCAAAAACAAAACAAAAAACCCTAGGACCAAAATTATGTCACATGATTAAACTCACTCGGACTCTTCAATAGGCGAGAGAGCTCCATCATCGTCCAAGTATTTGTATCTACGACTGTCAAAATCTTCTTTTTCTAAATCTTCACCAACATTCATTTGTTTCAAGGATTCCTTGAGGTAGTATTCATACTTCAGTTTTTCAAGGTAGTTGAAAAATCCTCTTGCCACTGCTTGCTAAATATCAAAAACACTTCATGTAATGATGTTACAAAATACAGAATTTTCTTCCATGAGTTAGCAGATGCCTTATGTTCCAAAACGGAAAGGATCCCTTTACCACAGACTCCTAAGCGGTCTTGAATTACTCACTCTGCTGTATATGGATCACATATACCCGATGCTAGCTGCAAGAGGAATCCACTATCTACCTAGCACGTTATCAAATTTACCCAAGTTGGTATACCAAGAAAAACTCAGCACATATCTTGTATTGTCTGGGGATTTCTAAAGACATTTTTAAATACAAAGAGAAACAAATCCCATGTTAACATAATCAGCTTAAACATAAAAGGTCAGTATTCTTTCAAACCACCCATTCTAGAGCAAAAGATTATAAATTATGCAATCATTTAACTCAAGTATTTGAGAGTCTAATGTTAAAAGTTATTTGTCAGGCAATTCTGTCAAAATCGAATATTCAGTACCTGAAAGAAAATGGCCTCCACAGAAGCTACTAAACATAGAAGATATGGGTGGGCTTGACTTAGGTTACTGTAAAACTGGGAATCACTAGAGTTTTAGGGATGATATTTAAAGACCTGGTGAGATCAAGGGATTTTGTATCAACAGCCTTGAAGCACCTCATAAATGGGTATATTCACTGAATATACCCAGGTGAAGTCTGTGCGAAAGGACAGATTGGTCCTGAAGTGGCAATAAGTCTGTACAGAAGAGCATTATCGAAGTTAGATTCTATCCATGTCCCTCCAGCCGTATCTAAATTCTCAAAGTGGCCAACAAGTCATTTCAGACATTTCAGCTATGCGTATCCACACAGATAAAATACTGGCTCACCTCAAAGGTTAAAATCTTTCTCCAAGGTAATGGTTTTCTTGCATTCTCGGATTCTAAAAATGGGAACCCAGATCCTTTGTCTTGAACTTGTTTCTTATTTATTTGGGAACGTCTACTGTTTTTTCTCCCTGTTGGTCTTCCTCTTGGTCTTCCTGTTGGTTTGTATTTCTTCTTTTTACGTTTTCTTTTTTTGAATCTCTCAAAAATAGCTTTTAAAGTCAATGGTCTTGGTTCGAAAGATGAGTCACTAGATGAATCCCTTGCTTGAGCAACTTTAGGTGAATGAACAAACTTTCTAGTACGGTTTCTTTGCACCCTTTTAGGTGAGTAAGGGACACACTGAGTTTTAAATAAGCTGCTACCAGAAGAAGAGCTATCACTAGAAAAAAGGGGAAAAAATTAATTGTACTTTTATATTACTGAATGCTTATTACCATAAGATACTTTTCTTCCACAGACCAAAAGCAGGAAAATATGCTCAAGATAATTTTTAAGATGGACTCAGGACTAAACCAAGATCTTGTTCTGACCACCTAAAATGGACCATAATGTCATGTGCCATAATGCCATGGCACTTACCAAAAAATTACTTTCCAAGAGAAATAATTTTAATTTCCAAAGGCAGTTTTGTTTACTGCTAGAGCTTGCTCTAAGTAAGACAAAAGCAGCCTAGCAAACATATTTAATTTCAATACAACAGAAATGCTGATTTGATTTCACAGTTAACTAGCTATTTCCATCATGTATACACATGCGCCAGCACTATTATAATGTGCATTACCTGAACAAGTTGATTTTTTAAGCAAGATACCCCACTGATACCTATTTTCCTGTTGTAAGATTAGGATGATTTAGCCAGGAAGAGATACCAAACTGGCCCAGAGAATACTCGCCTGTTTCCCCAGGATTAAGAATGTGTCCCACTGTTAACTACATAAACTGAAGACCCGTGTAAAACAAGTTTTCTTTTTCTTTCCTTATTCTTGAAAATTATCTCTATTGCTTATCCAGTAATAAAAATACAGTGACTTATCAGCAAATCTAATCAGTTTTGCAGTAAAAATCTAGTGGGAGTTGATTAAAATAGCACCTACCTCTCACTGTCAATTTCCACAGCTGAATTAGATGCCATTACAGAGTTGAGAAAATTTCATTCCCGTTACATACTCTCCCAAGTCCTTCTCCAAATTGTTTATTCACCACTTGTAATTTGCTTCAGAATTCTGACAATTCAGTAAACGTGATGTAGTTTCTCTGAACAATGCCCACAGAGCTAGTATCCCAGTAATACAAAATTGGATGTGGTCAGATTATGTCACATTTTATATAAATCAAGGCAAAAATCATATACTAGGCCCTTAAGGATTTTTATGTAAGAATCATTCATTTCAAATCAAATTCTAAAATCTAGAAACTGAATTCCCAATTTCCATTTTTCAGTTGTCTTCTCCATCTATCCAGTGGAGTCAGATTCCAGATCAGTACTGTCATTTCCCCAAAAAAAGGATTAAACATCATCCCATGATACAAAATGTAATTGTACTAACTACGTAATATACAATTAAAAGTATTCAATACAATTAATGGCCAAAAGCCATTTTTCAAGAGCCAATGGGAACTCCTTGGAAAAACTTCTACAAAGTCAGAAGGCAGTGTTGCTTCATTGTATCAGGAGAAATAATCAGCATTTACTAGATCAATCCAAACTACTGGATTTCCATTTACAGCCTCTTCTCATTCATCAAAGTCACTCTGAAACCTCTTCCTTGGCATATTCCCTCCTTGCCATTATGAGTACTAGCTAACAAGTTATAAATTCTCACTTTTCAACGAAAAGCTAACAGACCACACAATGGTGCCCTTTATCTTTTTATAATCTCATTGGAAAATCTGACAATAGCGGGCAAAAAAGGAGAAAGGTCTATTTTACTACTTCATCTCCCTTACAGCGGTACCAATATTCTCCCGTTTTAGTATACTTGAGAATGACAACAGAGTAGTGAAGAAAGCAATCCTAGGATAAAATGACAAAATAGCTCAAATACAAGAAATCATAAAGATCAGGAAGATCTTAAGAGATCTGCAAAATGTCCGATGGACTGTGGTAATTTCACGGTATGTTCTTTTTTTTTTTAAAAAACACGAAAACCTAAGTATTCAGAAATAACTGCTCAAAAACGAAATTTAGCAAAAATTGGGTCCAACGGCACTGCTGTTATACCAAGAGGTTAGGTCTGTCTTTCAAATATCAACACATTATTACAGCACAGTGGAGTTAACTCAAAAAAACCGCTTTTCCGGAAACCGTGCAGAAAACATTGCTAACCAGCGTACTTCCTATATCCAAAGATCCGGCAGGAGAGGCAGCGCGCTTTCGAAGTGCTAACAATCCCTCCAACCTCTTCCTATGCCTGACCTTGGGGCGAGTGTCTCCAGGAAGCACCTTACCTCACCTCCTGCACGGAAGGCGTCAGAAATGCTCACCTCGCACTCACGAAAAATCACAAAATGTGTACTTGTCCATAACGCCTAATTTTAACATCTGCATCCAGACACAAGGCAGCACGCCCATGAACGCGTACGTGCAGCCACGAAGCCCTCCGCCCTCGGGGCCTGCTTTCCGCGGCTCGAGCCTCCCGAGCAATGCGGGGATCCCGGGAAAAGCCAGCTCCTCTCGCTCACCAGGCCCAAGAGTCCTACCTTATTCCTACCTACCCAGGCTGGCAAATGGCTTGCACCAAAACTGCCGGCCCACTAAGGGCCTCTGCGGCGTACTCGCACCCCGCAACGCAGGCCTTGGAGGTCTGCATTCGGCCACGCCAAACCTCAGCTCCCCACGGCCTACCACAGCTCACCTCCACAACCTCGCGGAATGAAAGGAGGGATTCTTCCGCGACCCAGCTACTAGTGGGAGCGAAATCTCGCGAGAACAGTTGAACGCCACGAGGAAAGGGCGCCATTTTGACAGCCGCGAGGGGTGGGGCGGTGGGTGGTGCCTGAACGCCCAAAAGCGGAGGAGGCGGGGTCGACAGACAAAATCAGGATTCAGGTGCGGATTTCGTTTACCTAATGGGTAAATAGGGTAGCTTAGAACGTGTCCGCTAATGACAAGAATAAATTGTGGGGCCAACTAAACCGGGTGGATGTGAACTGAGAGGAGTCAGCCGCTCGGCTGTTTCCAGTGTCTCTCATTTGCTGAACTGTCATCGGATTTTCCAAGACTTCGGGGGTGCGTGCGTGGCGGTGAGTGTGGTGCCGGCTGTGTTTGGTCATGTCTGCTTTTGCCTTCAAAAATAGTGAAACTGTGGAAACTGTGACGGGCTTGTGCTTTGACCGTGACCCCAAATGCGTGACCTTTGTTCTGGAAGCCGGTGTTACTCCATAGCACACCCCATTCCCCTCCCCAACTTTGGACTAGTTTCGTTAGCTCACTCTTGCCCTCCAGACTGAGGGTCAGTGTCCAGGACACTACAATTCGTATTTTGTAGCTCACACAGACATGTATTTTGTTCCTTCTAGAACAGTGGAAACGGTCCAAAACTAACTCACCTATACTTTTTTTTTTTTTTTTTTTTTCTTCTTGATATATACTCATTCTACCAACACTATGGAATCCCGGGACTTTGAGTCTCGCAGAAATCCCACAGATGGTGGGTCCACCAGATTTCTGCACTCATGGGGTTTCACAAATGCTTTATGTGAATGACGTAGCAAGGAATAGTGGTGGGCACCTTGCCCCTCTGGCCTCTGATTCCGCACATGCTCCATTGTCCTATTGGCCTTAAAAGCTCAAATAAAAGGTTAAGAATTTCAGGGTGGTGAAAACAGAGCGTTAAACCAGTGCCATTCTGAGCACATGGTCCTGTGTCATTATACTAGTTGCACACCCCTGAGGCCAGCCCTATCCCAGAGCCTTGCGTCTGAAATACCGTAAATATTCAATAAATAACTATGGCTGAACTGGTGCTCCCTAGGAAGGCACTTGGAAGACAGAACCACAGCCCTATCTTCAGAAATCATGGCCTAGGTGGAGGAAACAAAGCAAACGGAGGATAACTCTGCGTGCTGTAAGATGGCTCTGTACAGTTCTTCCTTCGAGGAGCTGCAATGTGTCATTCCAACACAGGTTAACCCACATGGTAGAATGTGAGCATTTCTGGCTTTACAGTGGGCTACATTTGGTTTTGAGTTATTTCTGCCATTTTAATAGCTGAGTGATCGCAAGTAAATAATATACTCTCTCCGGCCTATTCCTCTTTTGAAAATGAGATTTATAGTATCTATTTGGTGTGAGAGGTTCTGCGAGATTGTCAAGTGCCTAACATGGTACCTGTTATGTTGACCAGCAAGCTGTCAATAGTTATCAGCTTGGTTGCTGGAGTTGGTCTACCCTGTTGGACACTGTCTCTGCAGCTCCACTTATCCAGCTACCTCCCCTTTTCTTCCCTTGTCTAGACCCTCCTTCTGGGCTATTGACTCCCAGCAATGGAATCTGGAGGGTAAATATCCTGTGCTTCCTTATGGCCCAAAACTTACGGCTTCCTATGTCCTCCTAGAGCCACACCTGAGTTTATATTAGAACCTTTCTAACCCCCTTCTCTCATCACTCCAGCTCCAACCTCCCCTCCTCTCTCCCACATAAACACATTTATATACACATTACCACACTGCCTGCTGGGCTGTTGGCTTGCCTCAAGTTCTACATTTCCAAACCAGTTATTCAACTATATCCTCCCCGGGGTTGGACTTTGTTTTTATTTTGGTGGGGAAAGGAAACAAACAAAAAAATCTGACCTTTTAAAGACAGCAAAGGTATAAAATTAGCATTGTATTTGAATTTAAACTTGCCTTTATTATTCCCACTATAAACAGAAATACCTAGAGTGCTTTATTTTCCTCATTATAAATAGACCATTGAGCAGATTTTGACATGTTCTTTTTTTTTTTTTTTAAGATTTTATTTATTTATTTGACACACACACACACAGAAAGTACAGCCAGGGGGAGCAGCAGAGGGAAAGGGAGAAGCAGGCCCTCTGGAGAGGAGGGGGAGCCCAATGTGGACCTTGATCCCAGGACTCCAGGATTATGACCTGAGCCAAAGGCAGCTGCTTAACCAACTTAGCCACCCAGGAGCCCTGACATGTTCTGAATTAGTACTTTTTGATAAAGAAAATACAAGATATTAACATTTGGAAAATCTAGGTGAAGAGTATACAGAAATATTTATATGTATTTTCTGTCCATCTGAAATTAATCTTTAAAAAAAAGTTAAAATGTTTCATTCCTGAACAGTTATAGATTGTTCAACTGAAAAATATGCTTGAGATCATTGAAATATGACTATATAGAACTTTGGGCCCATTATCAACAGTTGATATTTTATTTGGGAGACTAGATTATGCATATAATGTAATTTAAGGTTAATAAAAGTTGGTATTTGATGAAGTACTTATGTAAATGTTAAGTCCTAAATGTATGAGATTTGCATGTTTGTGGAGGATGTGTTGTTTGAAATTATCATCAAAAGCAGAAACCCAGGGATGCCTGGTGGCTCAGTCAGTTTTAGGTTCTTAAACTAAGGTGTTCTTAAACACCTCAGGTTATGATCCCAACGTTCTGGGATAAAGTCTCACATAGGTCTCCTTGCTCAGCAGGGAGCCTGTTTCTCCCTCTGCCTGCTGCTCCCTCTGCTTGTGTGCTCTTTCTCTCTCTCTCTCTCTGACAAATAAATAAGATCTTAAAACAAAACAAAAACCAGAAACCCAGTTTCTAAGAAACCTGTGACTCTTTGGAAAATTAAAAAAAAAGGGGGGGGGGCAGGTGGGATTTTCCAAGTGATATTGAAAGACCACCTTTTACTTACTAAGAAAGCTTGTAGCAGAGACTGTTGAGATTAATAATTAATGAGGTGTTCCATTAACAATTTTAATGAGAATCTGAATAGTGCTCTTAGAGACACTCTTAAAAGAGTTTTGCTTGCATTCTTTGTTGCAACTGGCTGAGATTCCCTGCCCACCTCACATTAATTTTGGTTGAGTTTTTTTTTTTTTTCTTCATTTTATTTACTTCCCTCTGCTTGCACAGCTTATCACCTGAACACTTAAGGTAAGATACTAACCTCTGTGGATCTATGCCTACCTATTGTAAAATATGCTTAGCATTTATATATTTTTAAAGATTTTATTTATTTGTTTGACAGAGATCAAAAGTAGGCAGAGAGGCAGGCATGGAGGGAGGGGGGTTGCTTCCTGCTCGGCAGGGAGCCCGATGCAGGGCTTGATCCTGGACGGTGTGATCATGACCTGAGCCAAAGAGGCTTTAACCCACTGAGCCACCCAGGTGCTGCTGCTTAGCATATATTTTTAAAACATCAAACTATAATTGGTTAGGTCATCAGAATGATTGAACATTAAAGCTACTTACCAAGAAAGTTTTTTTTGTTTTGTTTTGTTTTAGATTTTATTTATTTGACAGAGAGAGATCACAAGTAGAGAGAGAAAGAGAGAGAGAGAGAGGAAGCAGGCTCCCTGCCTAGCAGAGAGCCCGATGTGGGACTCGATCCCAGGACCCCGAGATCATGACCTGAGCCGAAGGCAGAGGCTTAACCCACTGAGCCACCCAGGCAGCCCACCAAGAAAGTATTTTTATTTATTTTTAAGTAAAAGTAATCATTTGAATTTCAATAGCTACTCATTTATATAAGTTTGCATTTCTTTTAGTAATTTAAATTTTTTTTGTAGAAACGATAGCCTAAGAAGCCTGTTTAAGTTTTAGCCTGTCAAATACAGACTAGAAAACACAAATTATCTGTGAGAGAATTACTTGAGCATCCTATACTGTTACCTACAACCATTTAAACAGTTACTTACAAACCTTAGAAACTACTTTTTGCTTTAGGACCTATGTTTCTTAAACCAACCATTAGTAAACTGCATGTTTGAGCCACATATATGACTAAAGAAAATGAATCATGTGCCTTCTTGGTTTGGCATTTCCTTTTGTCTATTTTAAGTGTTGACTCTAAAGTATCAGTATTAAAAAAGGTTACTTGGGCATTTCTCACTTGGAATGTTAAATACTGGGAACTGTGGTTGCACTTCTGTGAGGAAAGAAACATAAATGCCCTTTGCCCTTTTTATATAACTGAACTCTTGTGTTCCTTTCCAGAGCAACACTCTTCATGCGTGGTACACGGTGAACTCTTGTGATCATTAGCCTACCGTAGCTTTGCGTGTATATTCTCATACCTAAAGAAGAAAGAAATGGCTTGTGCTGAGTATTCTTTTCACGTGCCAAGTCTCGAGGAGCTTGCTGGAGGTAAGTACACTAATAACTTTGAGTTTTTTAAAATTATTCTAAGGAAAAACTTAAAAAATAAAAAGATTCTAAGGTATGATTTATGCAATAATATTTCCAATGTACAACTCATTTTCCTGAGGTGCCTGAGTGGCTGGTCAGTCAAGCGTCTGCCTTTGGCTCAGCTCACGATCCCAGGATAGAGCCCCACATTCGGCTCCCTGCTCAACAGGGAGTCTGTTTTTCCCTCTCCCTCATTTTCCTTTT